CAAGGTATCTGCAATTTCCCAGCTTGGGATCAATAAAGTCTGTCTATCTATCTATCTAAAGTCTATCTATACAACATTTTGGCACAAGGTATCACTATGACATTTAATATCCCCTTCTCCTCGCAGTGGATATGCAGTGTAAACCTGACCGCTGACGAGCACTGAAGGAAAGCAGAGGAGCTGTCACTATCACCAGTGTTAGAGAGCTTGGGTGAAAAAGGAGCCTCGTGTGACCCACCCTGAGACGTCCAACCGAGGGTGGAGAACACAGTAGAGGATGGTCTAGGTGAACACACTAGAGCTTATTCTAGGTATGAACCTGTTGAAAACGACCCTGCGCAGTTGGGCCTTAATATTGCGCAGCAGCTCCGACTTGAGGAGGTTCTGACACAGGCAATAGGTGCACCTGTTGCAGGCACACATGCAGCGGAGACGGGCGTGGCTGCGGAAAGATACACAAAAATGCGTGTATTCACCACCATACAAAGACAACAGGTACCAAACAACACACATAAGAGGAGGATGAGGAGGATGAGGAGGCCAAAGCCAGGGTAAAAACCTCAACTTTATTTAACCACTGGGCTACATCAAAGCCTACCTGCAACCTCCTCAGACAAAGTAAACCAAAGTATTGACAAGCTAACAACTATAATGAAACGTCTAAAGGAGAATAAACACAAGAAGGCATAAGGAGAAGAAAACTACAAAGGAAGGAAGGGAAAAATTCAGAGGGTGGCAATTATCATTAAAGTGCAAAAGCTCTGAAAATAACCTAATAACCTAAAATAACTTAAAGCAACAAGAGAAATGTTTTTGAGGGTTTCAAAAAGAGATTTTACACAAACCTAATGATATAATGGATTAAAACTTTGAATATTTAAAAAAAGCAGCTCAAGATTGAAATGGGTTGAGAGCTTTGACAACTATGGAGAATTTGAGAATTCACCTTGGACAGTAGATTCATTCACTCCTCATTGAGTCAGGGCAGTCAGTGGACTCTCCTCTCAGTAAGCCCCTTTCTTTATATCAAAGCAGCCAACATGTATGTTTATGGTAGGTAGGTTAATTCTCCTGCTTAAAACTGGAGTCGGTCCACGGGGGCCACTGCTTCTAATAACTTAACTACTCAAACTGGTGTGTGAGTGCTGCAGATCTAAAGGATTTCTGGCCTGCTAAAACGAGATTTAGTGGGCATTGAGTGCTAATTAATCTACTCTGAAATCTAATCTGATCAGAAAGCTTTTGAGGAGTTAAGACACCCAATAAAGGATTGACCTCAAAGAATTTCAGGCAAGGACACACACATAAACACAAACATACAACACTGACTTACAGGGGAGCATAAGAGACCCAGAAGGTGCATTTAATTTGTTCTGGGTGCTAGGTAGCGAGGTCAAGAAAGCAAAGTCCTCATTTACTGACGGAGTGGCTGGAGGAGTCCAAAGTTTACGTGTTACACAGCATACAGATAATGGCTTTGATTCACTTCCCCGTGCTGTAACCTTTGACTGCTTAGGGCAAAATGTCACTGTCTGATACATCCATCCAGGAGAGAGGTAAAAGTGGCACACACACACACACACAGAAAAAGAAGGGCTTGCAGGATTCACAGAGGTGTAAAGGGTTAACTACATGAGACCACAAAGAGGTTTGGTACTCACGGATACATGGCCATGGTGGTGAGTCTAGTGTAGATGTCTTTGTTGAGAGCCTCAGTCGTGTTGCATGTGAACGGCTGGGGTGGGTGGAGCTTGTGCTTGCGGCAGAACTCCTGCGGCGAGAGGCTGTAGTGCTGCCGTATTTCGTGCAGGTCTGATTTGGCGGCAATCACCACGCATGGCGTCTTGCTGTCTATGAAGTATTGCTGCCAAACACAACCGTTCGAAGTTACGATTTAGGCGATAGGAGATCAAATAAGCTGCATCTGTTGGGCATTTTTCCAATCGTCTGAAACGTACCTTGTACACTTTGGCGCAGTATTCAAAAGAGCGTGGATTGTTGATGTCATACACTAGGCAGACCACATCGCAGGCTAGGTCCGCCTCTGACAGGAAGTCAAAATCTGGCATCACCTCATGGAGCTTGTAGTGTGTCGATTTCAGAGAGAGAGAGAGAGAGAAGAGGAGAGAGAGAGAGAGAGAGAGAGAGAGAGAGGAGGAGAGAGAAGAGAGAGAGAGAGAGGAAGAGAGAGAGAGAGAGGATGTGCAGATGGAGGGATTCATTGTTTAGACCGTAAAGTGTAACACACTCAGATTATGTAACAGTAATCCAAAAACCAGATGATAAGTGAACTGTTCTTACCAGCAGGTACTTCTCCTGACCATACACATAAGTCGTGCTGATGGCATAGAGGGACTTGTGGTCTTCTCTAATCCGCCTCTGTCGCTGTGTTGGATGATGAACAAGGTCAATAACAGATACCCATAAAGATTACTTACATGTTTATAATGCGCGTCCCACAAGACAAACAAGACAAACTGCTATAAATACCAATTTAAAAAGAGAGTTCGAAAGGATTTAGATAGATACAACACAATAAGTTAAAGGGAGGAACAACCTAGACATAAAAAAAAAGCAATATTATAAAAATGTATAAAATAAGCAGCTATAATGGTAGTGCAAGTAAAAATATAAGGTTGCATCACTTCCACTGACCTGCAGGTCCTTGCCCAGGAAGGCTTGGAGGAAGCCACTCTTCCCGCTGCCCCGGGCCCCCAACACATTGCAGCGGAAGACGCTGCGCTGGGTCTGTTTCTTCTGCAGATCAATGCGCTTGTTACGCGTCACTGGAAGAATAGAATGAATTTAAATTTACAAACATACATGAACAACGGCAACATGCAGTAAAATTCATGCATTTTTTTGTATTAAACTTTAAACAAAAAGCAAACAATGCGGTTACTGATCCATGGTACTGTTTTTTTGTTTTGTTTTTTAAATTAATAATGAATATTAATTATGATTGTCTTACCTGTAATGGCAGCAGCTTGGGACTCCTGTTCATAGATGATGGAGTAGCCCAGGTAACCTAAGTACTCCAAACTACGCTGTACATCTAGATATGTTGTCAACCTACCACAGAGAACACGTCAGTCGTGATGAGCGCGATGGCAGCAGAGATTTATGATTTTGTAAAATGATCTGTATTTTCTACGTAACGAAGTATGAATGTATTCAGGTTGTGTAAAACTAAAATAGGCATGAGGCTACGTGTGTGTGTGTGTGTGTGTGTGTTGCTGTTGCAGTGCCCGTGCGTGTGTGTGTATTAATAGATATGTTCCACACTCACGTCCACTGAGAGAGATATCCCTGGTATGTGATCCATCCCTGGTCGTTAGTGCCAACAGTGTTGTTGACATCTGGACCCCAGGGCATGTAGGGAAACACTTTGAACAAGTCCTTCACCTCGTCTGGCGACAACGCACAGTCTCTGTCCTGGATCGCGACAAGTGATTGAACACAAAAGTGGTTATTCTTAAGAATGTAATCTGTAAATAAACATAATGAGGAAATTAAAAAAGGTGGCTGAATTAATTTCTAAATGTTCAACACTGCTAACCACTCACCTTGTCATGTTTGTCAAAGACACTCTGGAGGAAGAGGTAGGCGTTGTGGTTAAGCTCTGTGGTGCAGTCGGGGGGGATCTTTAGCCTACAGTACAGGGGACAGACAGAAACTATCATTTAACAGAAAGCTCCAGAGCATTGACGGAGGATCAGAGTCAAATGTTTCTGACTTTAAATGTTACAAATCGATCAGTCAGGTCATAAAGATCACCAGATTCTCCTCAGCAGAGAAGAGGAAATTATTTGCTGCTACTGTAAGCTGTGACCAACATGAAGTCATTTCAAAAGAGGAACATGACGTCAATACGACTATAACATACAGACGCTGTTATGTATAGGCTAAACCAAGATCATTTCTGACCATTACCACATTCATTCACAAAGATTTGAGCAATCAGTACATGTTTAGAGCTGTAATCATATTAGTATTGATCAATCAATAATTTTAGTCATTTTTCCAGCAATGTTAAACATTTTCCAGCTTTTCAAATGCAAGGTTTACAGTATTTTCTTTGTCACTTATGACAGTAACCTTAATACCTCTAGGTTTCAGACAGCTGTTTGAATCGAACAAGAAATCCAAATCTCTTTGGGCTCTGGGAAATTATACTGAGCATCTTTCACCATCTTCTTACTTTTTATAGACCAAACAGTGAAGTGATTAATTTTAAAAAAAACCTGCAAATTAATTAATAAAGTGCATAAACGTCAGTGACAGCAAGGAACATGTCAGTGACGTACTTGGCAAAAGTTGTGCTTTTTCTCAACATAAAACAAAAAGAAATTAATAAAAGTTTGACCATTTTTATACACCCAATGACGACAAAGAAAAACTGGAATTGAACAGGAGACAAAAGGAGATGTTGTAGGGTAAAAGTTCTCCTCAGACATTTACTTCTCTTTCCTTTCTCCACTGCACCTTCAAAATAAAAAAAATAAATAAAAAAAACCATAACTCCACTAATAACCTTTGAGTGTACTTACAAGGGAAACAGGTATTCTTGTGTGAGCTCCAGGTCATCATCATAACCAAACCGCCTAAGCACAGTCCACGTGGTCTCATGTCGCCCTCGCTGTATGAAGAGGGTGTGGAGGAACAGGAACCCTGCAACAAAGAGCACATGACAGTAAGTAAAAGACAAGCTGAGAAGAAAGATTGCTGACGGGACACGATGAACGATAAGTAACGAAGAGCGGGGAGGAAAGAGGAGGAATATGAAAACAGGAGAGTGTCTGACCTTTGAGTGTGAGTCCGTTGTCCTTGACTCCATCTGTCATGTTCCTCCTGACCACATTCTTTACATCCTCTAAGGCCTGAGGCGCCAGGGGTGTATTGAAACACGTTTTCTATAGAGATACACGACAAGCAATGCATAGATGAGAAAGCTGCAACGTTTGGCTGGGTTCGTGTTTAAACCTGCCACCCTAAACCAGTCTGGCCGTTCTCTGCTTGTGATATACTTTTATACAGCTTGGTTCTAACAAGTCGTGCTAGTGACGAAACCTTCCACATTTTTGAACTCTTGCGTGACTCTGTTGACTGAATGACTAGTACGTGGGAAACATTACCTGGAAGAAGTTGAGCTCATTGTCGTTAAGGATGCCGTCGTTGTCCAGGTCGGACACTTTAAAGATTCTAGTTAAAGCCTTAATGCAAGAGGGCTTCAGCTGTAACACAGAAGAAAAAGTAAAGATTAAGGTGGTGACATGTACTTATATAAAGGAGAAAGATTTCAATCAATCAACTTTAGAGATACACCAATCAAACTCATGATATCTGGTACTACTGCTCTCTTTCTGCCCAAATATAAACCTTAAGTTAGACTGATTGTTGTCTAAACACTAATTAAGAACCAATTCCCAGTGCTTCTCTGAACACTGTGGTACTAAATATTAAGTTGGCAGCCTGCCATGTTTAAATGAATGTAACTAATATGGAGAACATTTTATGATACTGACAAAGCATATGAGCATTTTACACTTTTGTAATGGCTGCAATACATTTGTTGTCTTCAAAAGACACTTTTTTGTGACATTTTGACTTGACGGATGGCTCTGTTTAATTCAAGTGTCCCAGCAGGCAAAGGTCAGCATGCACAATAGAAGAAATCTGCACATTTAAAAGTCCAATGCAGATGGATGTTCATTAATGTTATTAATTACACTGGTGGTGTCAAACTGTCTGCTGTGTCTGCATCTACCATATAGACCTCACCTCCTTCTCCTCTGGGCAGTACAGGGGTCCTGTCGGGTGGAGAACAGCCTTCTGGGCGTAGTAGAACAGCTCAGAGATGTTCTTCAGGTTTTTGGCAGAGCACTGAGGAACAAGAGGGAACATGTGTGTGAACAAGAGCAACTCTGGAGCAGAAAAACCTCACAAAGTCATGTGACAACAGAGTTTAACAGCGTCAATAGTGGGTCAATGATCGAACAAAGGGTCCAGTGGTGGAAAGTAACATTAAATACATATATTCACTCAAGTGCAGTACACTTCTGAATAAACTGTATATCAATCAAACAGTATGACATTAAATAATAATAATAATGTAACACTCACAGAAACCATTTTCCATTACTTACACACTTCCCTTAAAGCTGCAGTTTTATAACTGTATATGACAGCAGTACATGAGACAGATAATATGTGAAAACACTGTGGTTCCTCTGGCTCCTCCTGGTGCTCCTAATGGTATCTGCATGAATCCACAGCACCTGAACTAAAACATCAGAGCCAAGAAAGATAGTTGATGGTAGACCAGGAGGAACCAGAGGAACCAGAGGAACCAGAGGAACCAGAGGAACTGTCTCTAGTACTGCTGTCAGGATGTTGGGAAGGTTTTGGGAAATACTATAAAAAGTTATTTACAGTATAGTATTTCTAAATTGTGGTTCTACTACTTTTACTTGAATAAAATCTCTTAAATCTCTTTTGCCACTGATAAAGGAGCACAGAATGAACCAGAAATGTAAGCAGGACCACCCACCCCTTGATCTGGTCAAACACTGAGCCAGCAGTAAAAGATCGCTCACATGTCTTCCATACTGTACGAGGCCAACTCTCACCAGCTGTATGTGTCTCCTCTCACGTCCTCCTCATCTCCCTACTCTGACATTGTAAATAATCAGTCAGTCAGACGGAGCCCAGCTTCCTCCGAGCCTCTCGGCGCTCTGACAGTCCATCACTCAGCAGACCTTTGCCTCGGAGCACAGGGTTCGGTAATATAAATCTATTCAGGACTCAGTCAGAGTGTAAGTGGAGTCAGGAGCTGGAGTGCCGCCCGAGAGCAGCTGGGGGCCGATCTGTCCTGCGGGGCCGCCAGCCTCGCTCTACAGCCGCTGCTAGTATTGGATTTCATATTTCATTTGCCAATTCATTGCTCTCGAGTGCTTCATCAAAGTTTACGTGCACATTTAGGACCTCCAAACAGCGCTGCCCTAATGGCTCCGAAAGGTTTATATGTGTGTGTGTGCGCATCGATCCCTTACCTCTACACAGGTCTCGATGTCCTGGTATTGATTCATAATTGGCAGGATGGTCTCCATGCTGCTGTGTTCTACCAGGTCTGACTTGTTTCCCACAAGGATCAGTGGTACCCTGCAATAAAGCCTTTTATTACTGCATTATAGAGCTGCAACAATGAGGCGATGAATCAATCGGTTGATCAGAAAACTGACAGGCAACAATTTAGATAATAGATTTATCATTTAAGCCATTTTTTAAAGCAAAAATATAAAAAAAAACTATTTTCTGTCTTTGTGATTGTAAAAATATCTTTGCGTTTTGCACTGTGGGCATTTTATAGAGCAAACAATTAATTGACTGAGAAAATGGTCTGCTGATGAACTGATAATGAAAATACTTGTTAGTTTCCTCCTTATTACACCATGTTATCAAAATACCACAAATTAGCTTTAATCAGCTTGACGTCAACACATCTCAGCTTAATGCAGAATATCAAACTAATACATATTAATTTATGAGGTTTACAATAATTATCGAAGGCAAAAAAAGGACAAATTGTTATATATTTCATACAGGACACACTTAAAAATGTATATCCCTCTGTTGAATCATTCAGTGAGATTAAGTTTATCCCTATCTCCCATTACTCTGATTTCAAAACTTGCTACTAATCACAGCAACAAAAGGCAACCTGAACTGCCGACCCCGCGATTAAAACAAATCATAGTGACATTTTAAAGTGAGTTCAAACAACAATCTAGAAGAATATCAGCAGTGAACAGTATGTATTTACTTGTGGTCAGAGAAACAACACTGTTCACTAAAACTTTGAGACAACGCTACAACCCATCAGGATTACAATCACGGACCAGAATGACTGAGCCTTATATCCTACTGGGAAAGACATCAACTGTACATCCCACCAGTTTAACATAAAGAGCTTAATAAGCTTGCAGACGCAGCAGGACGAGCCTGGCTGACCCACACACAGACACAGACACAGACACAGACACGTATTACAGAGACCCACCTGCTGTCCTTGTCCGTCCTGTCATTTATGAGGGGAATCCAGTGGCTTGTCACCTACGGGAGGAAAGCATTACATCAAACACTGTAGCCGGGCAAACATTCATTACTAACACACACTGATTTTCTCAGATTAAAATGATTTGCAGCGTCTTGTTTCACGAAGCGCGAAGAGAAACCATGCTCACCTTTTCAATGGACTTCTTGTTGTTGACTGAGTAAACTATGCAGATAACATTTGCCTATAAAGGCAAACAGCAATATTAACTCGTGATGCACACAGGAGACACGTGGAGTACAGACGTTACAGGAGCAAATCAGAGTAAGAGTGAAGTCAAACCTACCTTTGATATTTCTTGATATAGCTGCTCGTCGGACTGTTCGGCTTCTAAAAGGTGAAGAAAAGGCACATCAGTCCAGCGTGCTGCATGTTATCAAGCCTTACTCTCACAATAACAACCTCGTATTCATATTAATCAGAGCAGGGTTACCTGAGTAGTCCACAATGTGAGTGGGCACCCTCTCGGGGGTGACGTCAGCTGGGATGGTGATCTCCTCAGCTCGGAGAGGAACCTGGTAGAAAAGAATATGAATAAGAAACATCACACGTGTCTTTTATTTACACATTTTAACCCTCGTGATATAAGATCACAATGCAACTATAAACAGCGAGCAGGAGGAGTTGATACGTACCTCATCCGGAAACTCCTCACTGACCAGAGACATTATCAGGGATGTTTTCCCCACTTTAGCTGTTCGGGAAAAGGAAAAACATTTTGTGTTATAATCCGGTATTACACACCTCTTTTACAGGACAATGGGTCGTTAATACACCACCTCTCTCTCTTCTAGTGAGCGGTCTGGGTGATGTATTAAGTGACAGATAAGAGCAGCTGAAAAGAGCTGCAGCACAGAGTCTGAAATGAAGCCTACGATAGAGAGACGGCACTGATATTCAAGAATAACAAACACATTCTTATACATGTGATTTTATTATATATATATAAATATTGTAAAATCAAATTACAAAGAAACTTCTCTCTACACTAAAACAAAAAATCACCACATTTATTAACTTATATTCTAACTTGCCATGTAATTTGTATTGGAGGATTGTTTGCTGTAGTACAACAACAACAACAACAACAACAACAACAACAGTGGGGTAAAACAATTAGGGGATTATTCGATCAGTATTTTCGCAGAAATGTAAAATATTTGCTCTTCCCACCTTATAAAATGTCAGGATTTGCTTTTGATTGATTGAAACTGTAGTAACTTTAACACCTCGAGGTTTAGAAACCCAATAATAATCTCTGGGCTCTGGGAAATTATACTGAGCTGCAAATTATTGAATAAAGTGCATAAACGTCAGTGACAGCGCTGTATATGTATATCTGAAGGGACCAAACAATGAATCCAAGAAAAGTAAACCAATAATGAAAACAATGGTTAACGGCAGCGTTAGTTTGCAGCACGTCTGTCCCCTCAGTGTCCATGTGAGTAACAACCTGTCCTCTACTAACACTGGAGTAGACACGGAGCATTTTGGCTGCTGCTCTCTCACTGTCGGCCCTCCCGCACAGCCACAGCTGAAATAGAAATAGCACCACCAACACACGTACTTTAAAGAGAACAAATACAGCAGGTGAAACACAGTTCAGGGAGGACTCTGCCCTCACCGCTGGTCCTGGGTCAGGGAAAAGGTCGAGATCTTCCAGTCGCAAACGTCCCATAACTCTGGTTATTAATGTACAGCGCAAGTTATCAGCAATGGTAATGGAAATATAGTTCTTATTAATTAAATATACCAAATACTCTCTTCTTCAAAGCCTCTCAAATGTGCAGGTTTGCTGCTTTTATTTGTCTAATGTGAAGGCAAACTTAAACTTATTTTGTTTTTTTATTTCTTTTCAGTTTTTGGGACAAAGAACCCCCAAAAAAATATCAAGAAACCAGGCAATTTAATCAGATTTAAAATAATTATTTGTGCCATACCTAGTTAGAACAATACTGTAATATTTTCTATGTTTCACTAGTCTTTTGTTTCCTGTAATCTGATACTAATCAAGTCCAATACAATAGCTAACTTATCATCATATTAGGTTGTTTCCGTGAGCCATCTATAGCTATTATCACCTGGAGGGGGATTGTTAGGTTGTTAAATCACTATTAAAACTACAGCTTTGTTGCAGCCTTGTGCTCAGATCTTCTGGTTATGAGAAGAAGTGTGTTGAACATTAAGACACAGCAGTGCATGGAAATACTGCAGAGAGCATTCATTCACATGTGAGGACTTAACCGGCCATCAAACAGCAGAGAAACCAGAGACAGCTCTCTCCTAATACCAGTATATAACCACACTGCTCTGTATTATGCATTATGTTATATTTATGTTATATTTATGTGGTTAGAGTCACTGAGGGCATCTGGTAGCTGTGTAGCATCTCTTCTCCCTCACTAGCATTGGAGCTAATCAGGCGATTCAACCGCTCAGGGATCTAAAAAACCAAAACGCCACTTACGCTCCCCGACGAGCAGTATCCTCACGTCCTTCCTCATGTTTTATCTAGAGTCCCTCCACAGAAACAGCGCTTGTCTTTATGTTTTCATGTAGTCCTCTGGACGCCGTCCTTGCTCCGGCAGTTCACCTAACGTTAACCGCCGCGCCTGCGCAGTGAGGCCCTGCCGCTGTCAAACTCTCGGCGCCTTTTGTAGGACAAAACGGACGGACGGTTTACCGCGATGCTCCGCGACTCCTCCGCGACTGCCGTCTCCTTAGCGACGAGTCGGCTCAGCGGGGAAGCGATTCAAGAAAGTAGTCCGCGGCACGTTTCTCTGTCATTTCGTGTTAATGGTCTTTTTCCGGGGGGCGCTTGCATAGCATTTCGTGGTGGTTGTTTCACGAGCATGCCCGACCTCCACTACCCGGCAACTACGGCGAGCCGCACGGGACAAAAACGTATGAGATTTAAAAACGTGTCATGCTGCCCTCTAGCGCCACAGAGAGGAACTGCGTGTGGGTCGCTGATTCATAAAAACATTAGACATAATTTACTGTCAACAACAACATAGATAGATAGATAGAT